GTAGTAGTAGTCCTGCAGTAGTCCTGTAGTAGTCGTCCTACAGTAGTAGTCCTGCAGTAGTCCTGTAATAGTCCTGCAGTAGTCCTACAGTAGTAGTCCTGCAGTAGTCGTCCTGCAGTAGTCCTGCAGTAGTCCTGTAGTAGTCGTCCTACAGTAGTAGTCCTGCAGTAGTCCTGCAGTAGTCGTCCTGCAGTAGTCCTGTAGTAGTCCTGCAGTAGTCCTGCAGTAGTAGTCCTGCAGTAGTCCTGCAGTAGTCCTGTAGTAGTCGTCCTACAGTAGTAGTCCTGCAGTAGTCCTGCAGTAGTCCTGTAGTAGTCCTACAGTAGTAGTCCTGCAGTAGTCCTGTAGTAGTCGTCCTACAGTAGTAGTCCTGCAGTAGTCCTGCAGTAGTCGTCCTGCAGTAGTCCTGCAGTAGTCCTACAGTAGTCCTGTAGTAGTCGTCCTACAGTAGTAGTCCTGCAGTAGTCCTGTAGTAGTCATCCTACAGTAGTAGTCCTGCAGTAGTCGTCCTGCAGTAGTCCTGCAGTAGTCCTGCAGTAGTCGTCCTGCAGTAGTCCTGTAGTAGTCCTACAGTAGTAGTCCTGCAGTAGTCCTACAGTAGTAGTCCTGCAGTAGTCCTACAGTAGTCCTACAGTAGTAGTCCTGCAGTAGTCCTGCAGTAGTCCTGTAGTAGTCGTCCTACAGTAGTAGTCCTGCAGTAGTAGTCCTGCAGTAGTCCTGCAGTAGTCCTGCAGTAGTCCTACAGTAGTAGTCCTGCACTAGTCCTACAGTAGTAGTCCTGCAGTAGTCCTGCAGTAGTCCTGCAGTAGTCCTGTAGTCGTCCTACAGTAGTAGTCCTGCAGTAGTCCTACAGTAGTAGTCCTGCAGTAGTCCTGCAGTAGTCCTGTAGTAGTTGTCCTACAGTAGTAGTCCTGCAGTAGTCCTGCAGTAGTCCTGTAGTAGTCGTCCTACAGTAGTAGTCCTGCAGTAGTCCTGTAGTAGTCGTCCTACAGTAGTAGTCCTGCAGTAGTCCTGTAGTAGTCCTGCAGTAGTCCTACAGTAGTCCTGTAGTATCTGAGCGGATGCTGTTTGCTGAGCTATTGGAGCTGAGAGCTCTGCTGGGACTCTCCGGCTGATGGAGGACTGTTTACTCAGCACAACGGCAGGTTATTTATAGTCTGACAGCATCTACACACACACACACACACACACACTAACACTCAGACACACACACACACACACACACACACACACACTCTAACACTCAGACACACACACACACACACACTCTAACACTCAGCACACACACACACACTCTAACACACACACACACACACACACACACACACACACACACTCTAACACTTAGATACACACACACACACTCTAACACAACACACACACACACACACACACTAACACACACACCACACACACCACACAACACACTCTAACACTTAGACACACACACACACTCTAACACACAGACACACACACACACACTCTAACACACACACACACACACACACACACTCTAACACACACACACACACACTCTAACACACACAACACACACACTCTACACTCAGACACACACCACACACACACACTCTAACACACACACACACACACACACACACACACTCTAACACTCAGACACACACACACACACACACACTCTAACACACACACACACACACACACACACTCTAACACTCACACACACAGAAGAAACTGAGTGTTAACCAGTGTAGATGAAACTGCAGACCTGTGCCTGTTTCCTGTCACCTGTCAGTCACCTTGGTGACTGGGGTGGGGATGGTGCAGTGGATAAGACACATGCCTTTGGTGTGAGAGACGTGTTCAATCCACCACTGTGTCCCTGAGCGAGACACTTTACCTCTCGTTGCTCCTGAGGCGTGCGACCTCTGACATGTAGAGCAGCTGTAAGTCTCTTTGGATAGAAGCGTCAGCTAAATGAATAAATGTAAATGTATTTCACCTTCACACCGACAGTCAGGTGACCGTCTGGACGCACAGACTCTTAATAGTCCGGCGGAGGAGGAGCGGCTGCTGTTGCTGCCCTCTCCCTCCATCACGAGTCTGGATCTGAGGTCTAATAATAAAACTGTGGACGATGTTTTATTGATAAAGTCGTGCTGCCTGCTGGGCTCACCGAGGCAGCTCGTCTTTCTCTGCACGACTTATTCCCATCTTCAGGAGGCCAGTTCAAACTCACCTGCCGTACCTGAGAGGAGCTGAGAGGAGCTGCAGTTACTGTGGAAATAGTAGACAGTAGTTTCATGGCACGTGTATCTGGACCCTGGTGTTTCCATGTTTTGGAGAGAGAGTGACACACATACTGCCGGCGTCTGACCACGAGGATCAAGCTCATAGAAAGTGTTCGTCCTCGTCGAGACGTTTGTTCACAGCTGCAAAGAGCAACAGCGTTATAAACCCTCCGTGACAAAAGGACTCACTGGGGCCTCCTGCCACGCCTCCTGCCACGCCTCCTGCCACGCCTCCTGCCACGCCTCCTGCCACGCCTCCTGCCGCGCCTCCTGCCACGCCTCCTGCCACGCCATCAGGGCGC